TTGTTTGTTTACTGCCACCGCCGCCGCCACCGCCGCCGCCGCCGCCAGGGGGTTCTCCGTTCAGACCTCCGTGCAGATCCCCCCTTTCCCCACCCCGACCCTACTTTGGCTGTTGAGACCGCCTCTCTCGAGGCCCTCTCTCCAGACCTGGCTCTCGCCGTCTGTGCCCCTGCTGCAAGAGTGGTGTTCGCCTGCCCGCCTGGTTGCACCATCATGTATGCATCATCACAACTCTTCCGGGTCCCCGGCCGTGTCCGTTGTTCGTTAGGTACAGAGCTCTTTTGTATTGTTTGGCGTGATTACGCTAAACAAATACAATAAAGAGGGGGCTGTTGTTAAAGTATACAGACGTGCATGTCGTACTGATACTGCTGCAGCTACTGCTGCGAGGAAGTGGCTGGGCATGGGAAACAAGGGACTATGGGCAAGGAGGCGGCAGGGGGGGGAAGGGGGGGAGGAAGGGGGGGAAGGGGAGGAGGGAGAGGGGGAGGAGGGAGAGGGGGAGGGGAAGGAGGAAGGGGGGGAAAGGGGAGGGGGAGGAGGGAGAGGGGGAGGGGAAGGAGGAAGGGGGGGGAAGGGGAGGAGGGGGGAGGGAGAGGGGGAGGGGGAGGAGGGAGAGGGGGAGGGGAAGGAGGAAGGGGGGGGAAGGGGAGGAGGGGGGAGGGAGAGGGGGAGGGGGACTCGTCCCTGGATTCTCTAGTGGCAAGGTTGCGGATGGACGCATGTACGGCAGCGGTGATGGATGCTTTCCGACGCTTGGTGTGTGTGTGTGTGTGTGTGTCTGTGTGTGTTGGTTCAGTGATTTGAACCGCTGCCACTTCTTCGTCGTTGTCTGCTTGCTGCTGGGCCATCAGACTTGGAAAGTTTTTGCCATCGTAGCGGCGGCGGCGGAAGGGGAGGGGGACGAGGAGGACGAGGAGGACGAGGAGGGGGACTGAGAGAATCTGCGTGTGCGAGTCAGTGAGAGAGGAATCCCCAAAGAGATATGACTTCTGACAGCACGTAGGGGTTTTGCGGGGTGTATATTTGTGTGAGTTGGGAGGGGAGGGGGAGGGGGAGGATGGCGGATGCCATGTGGCTGCCGATGTGAAATAATACACGCAGTTCATGTCCTCCCGTGGCTCCGTGTGTGTAACTAACATAAAGACATACTAAAAAACATAATATTGTGTTTGTGTGTGTCAACAAACAAATATAGAGAGACATGTTATATGTACCCACAGCGGTACCCACATACCGTACATACAAACGCACGCATGGTCGACTTTTCGAGTCCCGGAGGGTTCGATTACCACCACCACATCCAATCCACAATCCGGAAGATCATTCATTGCGGCTATGAAGATCATTATAAAACACACACGGCGGGGACATACATACACGTGCATACATCCATACAGACATAAGACATAAATTAATATTCACGAAGACGCAATCGCCCGTACTCGCCCGGGTTTCCCACTCCCACACACACACACACAACTTTTCCCCGCCTCTCCCTCTTCCTCCCCACCCGACCTTGCCGCCTGTCCTGCGGTTGAGTACCGTTTCACAAGGGCCTTACGACCTCCTCCTCCTCCTCCTCCTCCTCCTCCTCCCCCCCCCCCGCCAGCAGCAGCTCCGCACCCTCACACACCCTTCCTGCCCGCGAACACCCGCTTAGGGCGCTAAGGCAAAATTGGGACGTCAAGTTGAGTTGTGCAGCTGCTCACACACCCCACACATGTGACTTCTCTCCAGCCACTTCTCCAACAACAACTTAGGGTGCAATCCTGACTCCGCGAGGCTCCTCAGTTCGGCATCAAAAAACGCAAAAAACGCAAAAAGACATCGCTTACACGAAAGGCGAGGATACACCACACCGTACAGTCTACTTGCGAGCACTAAGTTGATGCGCCGTTGATCCGCTAGATTTGGTTGGATGCTGGTGGTGAGTTGCCGAACCCAGCGAATACATTCGGAAGTCGGATGAGGTGAACGGATCAGGGTGCCCCTCTCGCAGGGGAGAGCAGGGAACTGCCTCCAAGGGAAAGGGGGCCGCTGGTGAAGCTTAACCACCCTGTAACGACATACACCACACCGTACAGTCGTACAGCCTCACACGCTCTCCTGATCTCGACGCAACGTTTTCCGCCTCCTACCCCAAGACCCACCTACCCCCCCGGGCCGTACTGCAGTACTGCAGTACCAACACAAGAAAACCTCGTACACGTGTTACGGCACCACACTAGCGCCAGGGGCGGGGAGGTTTTATCTCATCATTAGTTCCCAACTCCTAACTCCCAATACCCAACTGATAGCAATTTCCCAACGGTTCCCCCAGCTGTGCGCCACGGAACCCGGTACATACGACACACATACACACACACACAGAGACACACAAACACACAGACACACAGACACACAGACACACACACACACACACAGACACACACACACACACACACACACACAGACACACACAGACACACAGACACACACACACACAGACACACACACACAAACACAGACACACACATACACACACATACACACACAGAGACACACACAGAAACATCTTCTTGGAGAGCTCCCGCCGCTACCCCCCCCTCCAGTTTATTTCACTGGAAAAGGGTAACCACACGTCGGTGGTGGCTAATCGGAGCTCGTTTCGGTAAAAATGATGGAATTGTTCTCCAGTGTACCACCATCCCCCCCTCGGCATTTCCCCCCTCCTCGCGGCTCAGACATTTACACACACACACACACACACACTCTCTCTCTCTCTCACTCGCTCTCCATTTCCTTGTTGCGTTCATACACACTTCTTGGTTCACACACACACACACACACACACACACGCATTCCCCTCACTTTTGTTATTCACTTTTCCTACCGCTTCCCTTGCCAATGGCTCCTGCGGTTGGTCATGATCTTGATCACACAGCACCCCCAATCCAGCACCTCGTCCTTCTTCAGCACCCGCCAGGATTGCTGCGAAGGGGGTTTGGGGCAGGAGGGGGCCAAACCGCCAGCGTCGCCGTCGCCGTCGCCGGTGGCGTGGCCGGCAGTGGCGGCAGCCGCAGCGGCGGCGGCTGCGGCGGCTGCTGCGGCCTCAGGGCTCGTGAGCGCACTGCACTCCGCCCGTACAAATTCACCCTCCAGCATTTGGTACGGCGGACGTTTTAGAACCTGTACGGCAACATGACGTGTCGCAAAAGCAGCGGAGAAACAAGCATGAAAAATGTGCTCCTACATGTAGGGGCTCACTCGGTGTTTTATAGGGGAGAGGGCCTATGTATGTATAACAAACAAACGAACAAACGTACTTACATACATACAAGTACGTCTGTTCGTTTGTTTGTTTGTTTGTTGTGCGTGCGCGCGTGAGGGAGGGAGGGAAGGGGAGGGAGCGGCTACGTGATGCGAGAGCAGAGGTGTACTGGGGAGTGCGACTGTACGTCGCCAGAATGGCGTTGGATGCCCCCCGGGTGGGAAAGCGCATGAGGCCTAGGGTCGCGTATCTTTATCTCCACACCCCCCACCCCACACCCCACTGAACCGCCCTAGGGCCCCTGTCTGGGTCATTTATACTTATATAGCATTCTATGGACAGTTCGCGAGCGACCTCTGGATTTATATTTGGATTTGGATCTGGATTTGGATCTGGTTTGTTGGCCTGGTTCGTAGCCCTCTGCCGGGTTGTCGGGTTACTCCCTCATTCCCCCCAATCTCTCCAATCCCCCCATTCCCCCACCCACTCCAAAAGCACGTCCCCGGACAACGGACAACGGACAACGGATACCCGCAACGGACAACGCACCTCGAACAGGTCCGCGATGTGGCTCCCGGGTTTCAGCAGCACGCAGTCCCTCAGGACCCCGGGCTGAGCCCCCTCAGCTGCCCGGGCCTTGGCGTCCAGACCGGAGCCCAACAATCCGGCTGGGGGAACCGGGGTGTGGGTTAGGGTGTGGGTTAGGGTGGGGGTGGGGGTGGGGGAACGAGGCAAACGAAACCTAAAAAGCCGGGAAGGAATAAGAGTTCTCAAACTCCGTGAAACACACAACACATACACACACACATACACACACACACACACACACACTTCGACACCCGCCCCGAACTCACCTGCCCCACTGGCAATGCCCCGGGCCGGTAGGGCGGTGTACGACTCCAAATCCGTTACCGGAAATACGGGACGTGGCGGCCGCATCGCCACCGCACACGTGAGCGCCAGCGCCGCTCCCGTACTGCCGTACCTGCAGTACAACAAATAGGAAAGACGGAACGTGTGGAAGCACGCCCCGCGCGCCGTCAAGGCCGATTACGTACCCCAACCACCCACCCCCCACCGGGGGTAGTCGCATTCCCGGTCGGGTCGTTTGGTGAGCGCCATGTCCCCGCGCGCGCGTGTGTATGTGTGTGCGTGCGTGTGTGTATGTGTGTGTGTTTTTCCCCCTCCCCCCTGGTAACAACACCCGATCCACACTGATCCCCACAGTTCATCATGCTGGGGACGCCGGCACTTGATACTTCGCTTGATCTTGCATCGCACGAATCCCGTTCCAAATACACACACACACACACATACACGTACATACATACACACAGGCAGGCGGCTGGCAGAAGTTAAGGCCTGACTTCTGCTCCCAGTCGATCCAGTCGACCCGGGTTCAAATCCGCCTGCCAGCTCCTCGGGTGTTTGAGGAGTGATGAAATGGGAGGTGGCCCCCCATCTTATGGACGGTGTAGGACGTGATAATATCAACTTGCGAGCTGACCAGGAACTAAGTTGATGCGCCGTTGATCCGCTAGATTTGGTTGGATGCTGGTGGTGAGTTGCCGAACCCAACGAATACATTCTGAAGTCGGATGGGGTGACGGATTAGGGTGCCCCTCTAGCAGGGGAGAGCAGGGACTGCCCCGGGAAAGGGGGCCGCTGGCGAAGTTAACCACCCTGTAATAACATACATACACACGCACACCTGCTCAGTACTGCGGTCCGAACCTTGGCCAGCTGCTGGGCCAGCTCCGGCGAATCTGTAAGTATGTAAGGTCCATGCGCGCGTGTGTGCGTGTGTGTTGCACGGTGGGGAGACAGGGGAAAGGGTAAGAAATACTTCCCGGTGCCGTCAAGGTGGGCGTCAGAGTAAGTGGAAGTGTGCGGGTCAGCGTACGTGTGCGGGTGGTGTGGAGTGGTGTGGGTGTATGGGGGGGGGAAAGGGGTTTCTAGCGCCTCCTGCAGAGCGGTGGTGTTGGGGTGTTGCGGAGGAGGGAGGGAGGGAGGAAGGTGCAACAGAACTGGGAAGGGGGCCTTCGGGGTTGGGGTTTCGGAGCGGTTATGATTTGGTGGTTGACGGTTGGGGGTTAGGGGTTAGTGACAGGCAGGAGCCTCGGGCCGCCACGGTCCGGGCGGATATCCCCCTTCCACTTGTCGGGTGCGGGCAGGAGACTGTGGGTATTAGATAGACAGATAGACAGGCAGACAGACAGACAGACACGTGCGCACCACGCGCAGACGGGCCCTGCGGACTGTCCCACCGGAAATTGCGACAACATCACCGGCGGCATCCGCGTACGACACCCGGCCCGCCCTCCGCTGGTTGCAGAGCCAGCGCTCCGTTGCGGCGCTTACGGGTACGGCGGGATCGTACGGCAGCGCTTGTCGTACTCTGGCGATATGGTCGGGTGAGGAGGCCATATCGGCCTGCGTGGTGGTCATGTGCGCGCGGTGTGGTGGACATGAGGCGCGTGACCCCGTGCGCCCACCCACCCCGAGTAAAATGGCGGGCGGGTGGGGGATTCATCATCATACACGTAAGCAACAGATCAGCAACTGCTGAGGCCGATTGAAAGGGGAGGAATACACGAAGGGCAAAAGCTAAAGTAGTCCAACAAGTTAACTGTTGACACACACACACACACACACATCCAAAGTACGGAACTGTTAGTAGAGTGGAGGGGGACGGGTCGTGCGTGTGTGTGTGTGGGGGGGGGGGGGGAGAGAGAGACTGGGGCTGGGGACGCGGGGAAGGAGGCGGGGTGTGCGCATTGAGGGACGGTGCGGGGTATGCATTGAGGGCCCTATTCGGGGATGCCGGGGGGAGGGGGGAGGGGGAATATGCGCGGGTCGGCGGTCAGGAGGGCGGATATGAAGGCCCCAAAACCGTACACGGGCCGTATAACCCCTGAACCCCTGTTTTTCATTGGCCGTTACGATACCGTTATATGACCGTTACGATACCGTTATGAACCCTGCGACGGGACGTACCTTATTAAGCGCTAGCAAGATGGGGAAGCGAGCCTGTCATAGAAGCGATAGTACGGCGAGGTGACGGCGGCGGCAACAGACAGCAGGGCGTGGGGGGAGAGGAGTGTATCCAATAGGCTTTGCGAAAAGGGAAGTACCATGCGCGGGAAGGTGAGAGAGCAGTGAGAGCTGTGCCAAGTGAGGTGGTGAACTGTGTCGGAGAGAGGTCCGAAAAAGGCGATTCGCGCATATTGAACCGCACCGAACTCTTTTTAACGACCGTACGACCGTATTTTCCATACCTCCCCAAACTACACCTCTCAATCCCCCCTTGGCCGTTAAGTCATACAAAGACTACTAGTCCTAACTAGACTCCTTCATTTCCAGTACTCGGGGAGGGTGGGGGAATAATAATGTTAAATTCTCTTCTGGCTCCCCACCTCCCCCCTCCGGCTATTTTTTCTTGTCCCTTCCCCGCGATGCCGCGAACAGACTCCTAGGATGCGTGGGTTAGTTAGTTTGTTATCAGTTAGTTCGTTAGTTACTCACCTGCAGGAAGTGCGCCACTAGTCTGTGCAGGTGTGCCTCAGTCCAATGCGCCAGGGAGGCCCCCTCCACCACCAGTGAACCCACAGACACGCCCACCCTAGAGGGGAGTTGAATTATTAGCGTCCGGGAAAAGGGGAGGGGCGAAGGAAGGGGGGGGGGAAAGAGATGGGGGGAAAACGGGGGGGTGGGGGGAGGCCGGCGCGGGGTTATGGAACAGAATGTCAAGAACACACACACACACGCACACACACACACACACAACACACACACACACCTGCAGGCATATGTACATACATACGCACACATACACGCACAAAGCCCACGAGCCGTTCGCGTTTGGTGACGTGAGTGTTGGTTGTTGAGTAGACGAGTGTGTTTCCCTTGCTTCCTCCCTTCCTCCCTCCCACCCACCCACCCCACTCGGGCCCCCCACCAACTTCCCAAGAGACTCTCCCCCCAACCCCAATCACGCATACACACACACGCGCATACACACACACGCACCTGGACAGCACCTCAGCTACCAACGCCCGACTCGCATGATAACCGGAAAATAGCTCCGGAAGCCGCGAGGGCTTGCGCAGTACATACACCCACTTCGCTCGTACGTTGTCGTACACCCAGCGGTGAAGCTCCTCGCGAACCCAGCTGTGTCCCGGGGGATGGAGGGGGCAGGGAGGGGGTAGGGAGGGGGAGGGGGAGGGTTATGGTGTCAATTTGGGGTAGGGTTCGAGACACACACACACACAGACACACACGGACACACACATAAGTTCGCGTCAAATGGGTGGGGCAGTGAGCGTACGTCTGTATGTGTGTATGTGTATGTAAATCATCTTTCGCATGCTGGCAAGATCAAGGCAAGCGGGGAAGCCACCTCTGGGTTTGTGTAGTGCAGTATATAGTGCAGCAAGTTGTGGGGTGTAATATATTGAAGTGTAGTGTAGTGTAGTGTAGTGTAGTGTAGTGTAGTGTAGTCTGTTCCCCGCATAGAGAGGGGGAGGAGGCGTGTGTCCGTGTTTGCCGGATGACGACCAGGCGACCAACACACCACCGCCACCACCGCCACCACCATCACCGCCACCACCACGCCCTCCTCTCCCCCTCCTCTTCCTTTCCCCCACCCATCCCCTCTCCCAACCAACAACTAAACCCTTCTCGTAAGGCCAATTGACTTAGCTGCAGTTGAATGAACGATCCGATTCCACGAAACCCCCAATCACCCATCCCTCCAATTATCTTTCCTCTAAACCTAACACTCTTTCC